GTTGTTGTTGTTGTTGGTGGTGGTGGTGGTGCTGGTGGTTGTTGGTCGTGGTTGTGATTATTGTTGGTGATGCTGTTGTTGTTGTTGTTGTTGTTGTTGTTGTTGTTGTTGTTGTTGTCGTCGTGGTTGTTGTTGTTGTTGTTGTTGTTGCTGTTGTTGCTGTTGTTGTCGTTCTCGTTATTGTCGTTGTCGCGTCGTCGTCGTCGACGTCGTCGTCCGGCGGTCGGTCGATCGGTCGATCGGTCGTTGTCGTTGTCGCTGCCATTGTCGGGCCGGTTGTCCTTGCCGTCGTCTTTGTTGATGCTGTGGTTGCTGTCACCCTAATATCGGCGACTTTCGTAGAGATGCTCGCCGGCCGAGCTCGAGAGCCTCTCTTGAGAAATGCTGTTTTGAGAGCTCCAGCGTGCTGTTCTCAAGAGATGGCCGACTGACCCGAAGCAGATGTGTCGCAGGTACACCCTTGGGGTGCCAAGCATGGCTGGCAGGTGACAGTCGTGCAAGGCGCATAAGCCTCTTGTGCAGCCCGTGGGGGATGCCTGAGGTTGGTGACATCATCGTGGATATCGCTGGGCAGCCCGTTGGCTGCTCGGAGGTTTGAGATTTCGGCTTACACAACGTAAACTAAGTGGACTCCCAGGTGACTTCCTTCGAGCAGCTCTGGGAACGTATTCAGGTGCTGGGGCTGCTCTTTGCCGGCCGTCTCAACCTTGCCTGGGAGCAGGTGGAGCGAAACCGGCCTCCGGTGAGATTTACGGTGGAACGCTGGAATGTCCAGACGACTGCAGAGGACACAGAGAGTGCTTCTTCGGTTTTGCCAGCACTCATACGATGCAGGAGGAGGCAGTAATCGCGGCACAGGATCCAGATGTACAGCTCAAAAAACAGAAGAAAGCAGTAGCAGAGGCTGGGTCACATGCACTGGGCAGACAGGCGTGTATGTTGTCCTGGCCTCAGGATCGGAGGCAGAGGTCGCGGTCCACCGAGTGCCAGTGTGGTGTCTCCGGCATGGCACCTTTGTCTGGGCGCAGGTCAAAGTCGCGGATTGCCAGCAAGCAGCAGCAGTCCCCTCCAACCACAGCCTCGTATGCTACTCAGACTTGAGACGGAACTGAAACAGCTGTTTGCAACGCGCATGCATCTGTGCTCTAAGGGACAAGCCCACAGCTTTTCCCAGGACATTGGGACCTAATGCGCTCGCACTCAGCCTGCCATCGCTTTTGTGGACTGGACAGACGTCGACAATTTTTGCCAAGACCGCAAAGTGCTTGAAAGCTGCAGGCCTTACCCGGCATGGCGTACGGCTGCTATCTTGGACGAGGTTGCCTGTTCCATCAGCTGACTTCGAATGCCGCTTGGACTGAGGCTGGGACGACTATGACGAAGAAGAGGCATAATGTCGTGTTCACATTGTGTTATACTTGACTGGTCAGATATTGAGTTAGTTAGATATTGTCAACACGAGGAAGAGGAGTATGATGAGTATTCCGACTACTCTGAAGACGACTCGCGCAGCTCGCTAGCATGTTCAGCCGGTCAATGACTTCACGTGTAATTAGATCGCCGACAGACTACTTCCGGATAGTGATCTGCAGTCCCCTCACCCTCCTCAGGGACATTCTAAGACCTCGCTGCGCAGTATGAGCTGTGCCTGTGCCAGCGGGTTGGTGTGACGAGCATGGCAAAGGTATACGGCAGTCCACAACCTCCAGCTTTCCGGCGGGGAGGTATAAGCGGGCCACTCAAGACAATGGCCACCAAGACTTCAATTTCGTGACATCTCATTGTTTTACCAGACAGCCCGATATCAGGTCCCCCTTCACTGCAAAATTCGAGGCAGAGCAAGCTGTGCTTCACATTTTGAGAAGGTCGGTGTGCTGTCCGCGCAGGTTATCAAGAAAGACACCCCAGAGCTGCAGGACCTGAGAGTGACAGAGTGTTGACGTGGCCCTGGGTGTTCTGCTACGCAACGCACGGGAGGAGGATCCACCCAAAGAAGGTGAGCCAGCAAACACCGGCCCTGAAGAAGCAAAGACGATCGCAGAACGCTTCTTCCCAAAGGACATGGAGCGTCGGCTACCCATGGACCAACATTTTCCTGGCTGTGCTGCTATGAGAAATTCCCCAGAGGCCGAACGTACGAGAAGAACAAAGTCGTCTTCACCCGTGATGTGGTGGACTTGGACCTTAGCAGTCCTAGGAGGCCCAGCTTGTGGGTAGGACATGCAGAGTCCTGAAGCAACCCAGGCCTGGGGGCGCTCGGTTGTGAGAGTTATGAACCCAACGCACCGGGGTGACTAAGTCACCCCGCGGCTAGTTCAAGGTCAGCTTGAGCTCACAAGCTCGGCAGATTCTATGCAAGTGCATGTTTTTCCTGAACCCTGGAATGGAATGAACGGTCGTCATGATGATGAGCCAACGGAGACAACAATTGCCGTTTGGATATGGTCTCTGCCGTTCCAGGAGAATTCAAGGCTTCAAACGGACCGGCAATCCAATGTGAAGCAGCCTACATGAGGATGGTGCAAGCTTGCCTCACGACTATTCCCATACCCATCAAATATCCATCACGCAGGAGGAGAAGCACTACTCCTGGTGACGCCGTGTTGCTGGCTGGCCATACCTAGATTCGTGACTGATGCGACGGTGGTTGATTGTTTGTCTGTTTTGCTGCCCATCCCTCCCCCTGTTAACGACGGCCTTTCCCACGAAGCGGGCGAGGACGATTCCGACAGAATTCAAAGAATGTTTGTGTGCCAGAAAAAATGGCTGATGGAGGTTCCGGAAGACTCAGAGTCTGCCGGTCCGGCCGGTCCGTGCAAATCCACAATGGCATTTGGCTCGCATGAGGTCACGGTAGTGGATAGGGATCTTGGTAGAGTTAGGGATCTCCTTTTGAGCAGCCCAAGGGGGGCCCCTACCCGGCCCTGTGTCAGCCTTGGAGCTTTCAGAGGGTTCCAAGTTCAAGCTCATGCACATCCAATCCAGGACATGGTCAGTTCTGACGAAGATTCTGCACTGGTGAAGAAGGACGGGCAGGTGGATCCTAAGGAGGACCTCGAAGTGCTCGCTCTGCGGGAGACGGATAGAGACACGCATGCGCCTCTCGCACACTCTATTTTGCAGGACCCTCTCAACCCTGACAATGATCCCGAATTAGTTGCTTGGCGTCAAGAGCCAAGGGGTGATGACCGCTATGTTAAGACTGCGCGTCTGCTCAGGAGAAAAATGGGAAGGGTGGAAAGCCCCGAGCCGAGAAGATTGGTCTTTTACCACGCGATGCGAGGGCTCTGCCTGCAGGTTCCAGTCGAAGGTGGCCATTTTGCAGGTCACATGGAGGCAAGGCATAAGGCAGGTGCAGTAGATGCCACATGCCATCACCGAACATGAGAGAGGTTTCCAATTGATACCAATCCGCTCAACATCCTGGCGCTGATCTATGGGTCGCCCTGCCACTGGCTTTGGCTCGCTGTGCTTCCGTGCATGGCGTATCTTCTGCTCCCGCCTCGAACCCTGACATGACAGACTGACAGGACTGCATTGCTGCTTCGCCTGTTTATTCAGGTCATGCTGGAGCAAAGCACATGTCTCGAGTTCGACTATACCGAAAACAGCCCGTAAATTATGAAGCACATTCAGCATTTTGCAAGCAGTCATCAAAGCCAGTGCGGAAGGTCCAGAAACCGACGGAGTTGGCTGTGCCTCAACTTGCCTACGTTCCGGAAATCGACATGTGACGACTCTACAGCAAGATATAAAGCAATAAGTCCTCGCAGCAGCGACTGCATCAGTGGTGGTAGTGTGAGTGGTAGTGGTAGTGGTAGTGGTA